AATACCTGCTGATTCATTGGGCCTACTCTAGTTGCTACTTACTATGCTAAGCAATAAAACTTCAACCTTTATGTTGTCCAGGTTGCTGAAGCACAGAATTCGTAAACACGGGAATTTTCTATTTCACAGATGCAAGTATGATCCCATTTTACAGATTGGAAGTATAAAGCTAAGCAGTTTGGCTAGATTAATTTTGGCTTTACACAAAAAGTGAAGGCATTTATTAATAGTTTGGCTTTCCTGATAAATAGCTGCATTTAACAAGTAAATAAATGTAAGAAATAATTTAGTTCTTGCACATAAGGGATTACATATGGAAACTTTTTTCTTGGTTGACAGAGACATTGAGCCTGGATTTGGCCTGTGCCAAAGCAAGCAGAATTAGCCTTATAATGTTTTTGTGCCTAATGCAGATGCAGTAAACATGTGACATGTGTTCATTTCCCCCTCCCATCGTGCTTCCAAGTCCAGCTTAAAACTACCGTAGATTGTTTGAAATGCAACCAGATGCTCTTATGTGGTTCCAAAACACAAATACAAAATTTAGCCCCTGATCCACAAATCAGTGTACATGCATATATCCAGATACTGCTGCCACTGTAGGGCTGGCAGGCATCCATTCTCAACTTCACTGTATTTTTAATCCCTCCTCAAATACACATGTGCTCAGCAAGTCCCGGTAGGTTAACATTTTTTCTTATTGTAACTGAATTTTCTGTTTTTTGGCTGCTCTGAGGAGGTGAGGTGACAAACTAATGGGATAGGAAATGGTTTCTGCCTCCACAGTGGTTGATGTAGGATCTTAAACCATTATTGCCCCCTTCCCTATAGTTCATCCTTTTTCCATAAACTACCTCTTCCTTCTGCAGTTAAGATGGTCAAAACACAGAAGGCACTGAGCCTCTCAAAACGTCCCTCCTCAGGTATTAATTTTTTTTTTCTTTATCAAAGTCAACTCACACTTTTTTAAATGGTCATACATATAGATAATTTGGGACATCTGAACCATGAGGAGAAGTTTAATGCATAGTACAGTGGAATGCTACTTTGAAAGTACTGTCAAAGAAAAGCAACAGAAAAACAAATCAAGCAACAGTACACAATATTCAACCTTTGCAATGGTATGCAGGGTTATTGGTGTATCTCAGCTAGGTTAATGTGCTGACATGAAAGCTAAACTAACACTTTTAGTCACTCAATGTATGCTTGTGAAAACAAGCCTTAATTTATTTGCTGGAACTATCCTGCATGTATTTTAATGTAGTAAAAACACTTTTCTTAAAAATGCATTAAGTTCCTTTGCCAGGTAGAATATGTTGAATCTTCATTTGGAATGTTGAAGAGTGTGCCCAATGTATGAGCATTGGGATGTTCTTTGTGTTAGATTAGTGATTTCCACAGGTAGGAATGGAAAGACGTTTGATTTGTGTTTACATATGGAAGTACCCATTTTCAACTGCCAACAAAAGGGGAGAATAATTTCTTTTTGGAAATCAGTATACGCCTGAGGCCTGGGGTTTGCCATGCATTTCAGAGGGAAAAACAATTAAAACATCCATCTGAAGCCATGCTCATACTTGAAAATTGTCATTACAATGCATACAAATGCATATTGAATTTAAAGAGTTGCATCTATTAGGAAGTACCCATTTTCAACTGCCAACAAAAGGGGAGAATAATTTCTTTTTGGAAATCAGTATACGCCTGAGGCCTGGGGTTTGCCATGCATTTCAGAGGGAAAAACAATTAAAACATCCATCTGAAGCCATGCTCATACTTGAAAATTGTCATTACAATGCATACAAATGCATATTGAATTTAAAGAGTTGCATCCATTAGCAAAATATATATCAGAAATGATGTATAAAATATGCACAGATTTCTGTGTGAAGAGAAAATACAGAATGGGGATAAAAGAAGAATGATGGTGGGGTTCTGAATAGTGCAGTAGCCAATTTTTTGCTTTCCACCTATCCAGCAAGTTGCTATATGGGTGACTTCGGGTTTCTCTGTATTTTAAAGTGTAAAGACAGAAAGTCTTTCATGTCTTCTTGCTTCTTTCCACATACCTGAGTTACCGATTTACTCTTGTGTGCGAATCTGTGTGTGAATGCATGGTTTTTCTGTCTAAGAACAAAGGAAATGGAAGAGACTGAAAAGTGAAACAACTTCCCTGGAAACCATAAAGTAACTATACAGTAACTGATTGAGTGGTATTATAGATACATTGCTGTTCTCCAGAGAACCTAGTTTGAATCTCATGGTAAAAGTATGGATCTGGTATTGTATTTTAAGCTTTAAGGTTTACTTACATTACAGTGGTGCCTCGACTTATGACCATAATATGTTCCAGAAGATGGACATACAGTGGTGCCTCGCAAGACGAGCGCTCCGTTTTACGACAAAATCGCATTATGATGAAGTTTTTGCGATCGCAAAAGCGATCGCAAAACGATGTTTCCTATGGGGGAATTTCGCTTTGCGATGATCGGTTCCCTGCTTCGGGAACCGATTCTCGCAAAACGATGATTTTCCTACAGCTGTTTCAAAATGGTCGCCAGGTAAAAAAAATTGCTCCCCGCTCTTTTCTGGGACGGGTTCCTTGCTGCACGGGCAGTGAAAATGGCCGCGCTATGGAGGATCTTTGCTGGACGGTGAGTTTCAAGCCCATAGGAACACGTTAATTGGGTTTTAATGCGTTTCTATGGGCTTTTAAATTTTGCTTTATGATGCTTTCATTCTACAGCAATTTCACTGGAACAAATTAACATTGTAATGCGAGGCACCACTGTAATTCAAAATGGTCGTAAGTCAAAGCACAATTTCCAATAGGAATGCATTGAAACGCAATTAATCCGTTCTGGCCGAAGGAAAAAAAAACCACACACACACACACATAAAAATTAATCCCTTCCTACTGAAGGGGGGGGGAGAAAATCAAGCAATCAAGCATGTAAGACTCATTGGAAATGCACAGAAAACAAACAGAGCAGATCGGAAATGCACAGGGAACAAAGGGGGCAGGTTGGAAATGCAAAGAAAACAAAGGAAAAAGCAAGGGAAGCATGCAGGACCCATCGGAAATGGGTGGAAAACGCAAAAAGCAACCAAACCCCTAAGACCCATCGGAAATGGGGGGAAAGCCAAAAAAACAAATAATCCCCCAAGACCCATCAGAAATGGGGAACCCCCCCAAATGCAGCCAACCCCCCAAGACCCATTGGAAATGGGGTGGGAACCAACCAACCAACAACCCCCCCAAGACCCATCATAGCACAGAAACAACCCCTTCAGCTCAAAGCCACGCTGCAAAAACACCAAGAACAGTTTTTAAAAAGTAGAAAACAGCACCTTACCTTACCAGGCAGCCTGAAGCCTCCCTGCAAAAACACACACACGATCACTCAGAAGCAGAAGGAGGCAGTCCCAAGCCTCCTCCGGCACACTCTCTCTAACTGGGGGCAGAAGAACTACAAAGAAGCAGCCTTGTCGCCACCTACAGTTAGAAATTTGAATTTCCTGTCTTTTCCCCATGCCTTTTTCTGTTTGTAAATGGAAGCTCTGGTTGCACGTAGAAGCAAAATTTTGTGGCTGGAGCTGGTCATAACTCGAAATGGTCATAAGTAGGGACGTTTGTAAGTTGAGGCACCACTGTATAACAAACGAGTATGTTTTTTAGAAAGTGTGGTATAGGTTCTAGGGGATGGACTATCAGACAAGGACTCTGGAGACCTGGGTTCAGATTCCTGTTCAGCCATGGAAACTTACTGGGATGGTGGCCGTTCCTTGAACACATCACATACTTTGGGAGCCCTATAATATTTTTGAAAGCAAAACTTGAGAACTTGAAACATTGTCATTTTTATACTACTGCCTCCAGAATCAGTCACCCTACTCCAAAACACAGTGAAGACTTAATTGTGCTCAACACAGACTAGGAAATTTTAATAAAATATATACAGATTAACTGAGTTCACATAAACTTGATCTGTTATATTTGAGAGACTCTCTGGAGAAAACTGCCAGCTTTCTGTAGCAAGGAAGATTTCTGATTGCTCATTAAAATATTCATCTTTCTAAGCAGTTGATAACTTTACTTGGGTCAGCAGTTTGGTAATTCCTCATAAAGATTGTAATGAGAACTCTCCAGTTTCATGCTTTATGCTTTAGCTGCCAGTAGTATTTGAACAGATCCTTCTCTTTGGAAATCGAGTTCCTAGTGTGCTTGATCTGAACTTATATATTCTGATTCAACCTAATTGTTGGGTAGTTTGGTTCGGTTGCTGATTTCTGCCTGTGACAAAACCTACATGGAACTATTGAGGAAATTAAAGGCTTACGTTTTATAGAGACAGGAAGACAAAAAGTGACATGGCAACACTGAACTTAATGCGTTTGGCTATCTTATTTGTTGGCCAGAATCCATTTGAAATATTTATGCTGACATAAATGCAGCTCTGCATAGCCACTTTTTAATGAATCTCATTTAATTCATAGTACCATGCCAGTTCTGTGATTAAAATAAAATAGCTTGACAAGAGTATCTGTTTAGCAGACTGGACAATTAAACAGTGAAGTATTCCTATTAAGAGTGGGACCTTCTATCTGCTAAATCCCTGACCATAATAACTCTGTGTTGCTGATCATACAAATTAAGTCTCAGAAGAAGAATTTCTTAGAAAAAAAATATTCAGTATTACCAACTGCAGAACATTCTTTGTGGTATGTCTGAACTGAAATTATTTCTCCTGAGCCAATCATTCTGCAACCTGAAGTTTTAATGATGTAAGCCGCTTTGGATTCTTTTTAAGAAGAAAGTCAGGATAGAAATAAATAAGTAAGACGTGCTGCATGTACCGCAGCTATAATGCGGGTTTCCCCTGTTTTATATTCTAATAATGATGATGGAATACTTGGGTGATGTAGGATATAAATAATGACAACTATCAGCCTTTGGAAATGTAAGGTTTGGACTTAGAAAATATTTCTTCCCCATTTAGATTTCCATGAAGAGAGTCTTGCAAGTTGCAGATGGCCCTTTTGTAGATTCTTGGCTTTTCTGATCCAGCGCTTGTTTGTGACTCATTCCTTTGCACTGAGAAACTAAAAGCCATGAAGGTTGTGCCAGAGAAGAATGCTGTGCGAATCCTGTGGGGCCGAGAACGAGGTACACAAGCTTTGGGAGCGCAACGACTTCTGCAGGAGCTAGTGGAAGACAAAACGCGTTGGATGAAATGGGAGGGAAAGGTAAGGTTCTTGATGACACATTTGTAAGATGGCCTAAACAGGGCGAGATGCCTAACTCTACAGCAGAACATTGGAGTGGACAGACATTTTAGCTCAGTGTTGTCCGAAATGGCTAGTGTTCTGGACAGGACTATTTTTATAGCTGTACCTCAGAATGTTAGGAACTGAACTTGGAACCTGTTCCAAAGCATGTGCTTTTGCTTTGAGCTGTAGCCAGTGTGTGGCCATTTTATCTGTAGGTAATGGAGCTTCGTATATTTGCTTGGTAGCTGGCTTTGGCTTAAATATTTCTGTTTGGTGCATATCAGAACAAATATTAGTAATATTCTTTTTGAAATTAAATAACTCATTGATTACTGTGGAAGTAAAGTATTATGAACATGGCCTCATTTCCCTGTGTTGGCTTCATGAGAGGGTTGGGGTGAATCAGGTATGTACTTTAAGATACCTTAAGCTCAGTAAATGTTATGTATTTTGATTTTTTCAGAAGGTTGAGTTACCGGACAGTCCACGTTCCACCTTCCTTCTAGCGTTCAGCCCGGACAGGTATATATTTACTTCTTTTCTGTTTTCTTCTAAACACTCTCTTTCAGAATAGTTTGCAAAGATAAGTTTCCCCAGAGAACTTGGAGCTGAGGTTTGACAAAGTATACTTCAACTTCATAATACAGTGGTGCCCCGCTAGACGCTTACCCCGGTAGATGACAAAATCGCTTCATGATGAGTATTTTGCAATTGCTATTGCGATCGCAAAACAGCGTTTAGATGGGGAAAATCCGCTTGACAACGATCGGTTCCCTGCTTCGGGAACCGATTTTTCACTTTACAACGATCAAGACAGCTGATCGTCGGGTTTCAAAATGGCCGGCCGCTGTTTCAAAATGGCTCCCGCTGTGTTTCCTCGCTTTACAGGCACCGGAAAATGGCCGCCCTATTGAGGATCTTCGCTTTACAATGAGGTATTTCGCCCATTGGAACGCATTGAGCGGTTTTCAGTGCATTTCAATGGGCTTTTTACTTTCGCTTGACGACGATTTAGTTCTACAGCAATTTTGCTGGAACGGATTATCGTCGTCAAGCGGGGCACTACTGTATCAAGTGCTACTGATGTTTTTATTGTTTGATGCTGCTTGTCACTATCAGAGATCTTTTAAATAAATGACAATGGCAATTAGATAATAGGATTTTGAATAGCTTTGTGTCAGGAACTTGCCATATTCTCTGTCATGAGAGTGGATGGGAGGAATTATATTTTACAGTCTTCGACTCCCATCAGCTCCAGTATAGTCAGTGGTGAGGGTGATGGAAATTCCAGTCCAAAAATATTTGAAATGCCACAGTGGCTTACCCATTTTACATGGATCCTATAGTGACTATAAGGCCTTCTGTGGTTTGTGCAGTACACTTTTGCATTCAGTGTAGGATTCACTTTTCTACCTTTTGAGACATCACATTTTATTTTCACTGATTTGGTTTCATAAAGTGATACAAGATAGAATCACGCACATTTGTTAGAGTTATGTCTTCATCACTGTCTGACTCACCATTTTCCAATCTGAGACTTGGTTTGCTTCTTGTTCTCCATGTTTGGAATCGCCTTGAAATACCAGGTCATGCATTTGGCCTTCCATACTCTTTTCTCTCCTCCTCCCTGACTTTTTACCGTCTAACTTGATGGAGACTTAAGGGGAGATCAAAAGCTTCAATATTTTGTGTGTTTGCAAGTTGATCCCAATCAAAGTATTGTCTACCAGTAGATTTTAGGTATTTGTTTTAGCTCATTCTTTGCCTAGTCACATAGGAATCAGTTAGTTATGAAGGATGAAGCCCAGGAACTGGCTTTTATTTGTGAGATTGCTGTACAGTGAAACATAGGCCAGATCATGTGCTAATGAGGTTGCTGCAATGTGTCAGAAAGAGGTGATAATTGAAAATGGGTAATGTGGTTAGCCTGTAGGGTTGGAGTAAAGTTGCTACTGAGGCAAGAAACTTCATTTAATTCTATTGGAAAAGTAAGCTCAGTATGTTCTGGTTTGGCATATGGCCAGTTAAAAACCCCAAATCAAACAAATTAAGATAGTTGACTAGTCAACCATTGTCTTAAGAGTTATCAGATCTTTTGAAAGTATGTGTTAGAAGAATGAAAAGGCTGTTTTGATAAGTAAGCTTGATATGTATGACATATAATAAAAATAAATGAACAGTTGTGAAACTGATATTTCACCTCTTTAAAAATGTGCTTACTAATTCATAGCTCTGTTAATGTATCTATAACCACAGTACTGTACGTTCTGTTGTAAATAAACGAACAATTGGTTGATTTATTGTTGATCTGTGTCTGTTTAAAGTTCTCTACAGTTGATGTTGGAGCTGTAATATCTGAGAGGTTTTGATGCTGGGCTTGACGTTCCTTCCACAGATCCATAATAATTTTCTCTCTGTGCAAATTTGTATCCTTCTGTTTCTTCTTCTAATATGACTTGCTAAATGATACCCCACTTCATTGAATATTCATGGGGCTTTTCTTTCCCCAGGACCCTCATGGCTTCTACGCATGTGAATCACAATATTTATATCACAGAGGTGAAAACCGGCAAGTGTGTTCACTCTCTAGTTGGGCATCGACGCACACCATGGTGCGTAACCTTTCATCCTACCATCCCAGGGCTTATTGCTTCAGGGTGCCTTGATGGAGAGGTTAGAATCTGGGATTTGCACGTAAGTTCCTTTCAGTGCATGTCTTCTTCCACTTCTCAGTAGGGCTGATTTATGCATTACCACTATAGTGTGTGCTTTTCGTTTCTGTGCCTTCTTCCCACTCTCTTCAAGTAACTTGGAGATTCAGAGAACGATGTGGCTGTATCCAGTGACATCATTCCTCTGCTAAATGTCACCTGATGTTCTGTATTGATTTTATTCTCTCTGATCCTGAAATGCCAGACTTTGCCTGCATCTGAACTTGATTTCAGGCTCTAGCAGCCATCTTTGTTAGCTAATGATATTTTGCTAACATGTTTTTGGGCCGGTTTCTAAGCACATTTCAGTAAAAGGTGTATACGTTTCAAGAACAGAAAAAATAAGACTCTAGATAAGGCTCTCAGTTTGTGCCAGTAGTGCTTCATGATGATTTTGAATTGGTAAGATGTTTGTGCCATTTTGAATGGCCTGTTGAAATGCCTTGTAATATCTGGTGCCATTTGGGTAGCCTGAGCAAATAATACACAACAGAGTGCTTTTAGTTCCATAAGATAACATAATTGTCAAATTCTATGATTCTTTCTTGCAGGAAATATAAAATGTATGTGATAAAGCATTATAGGATCTGAGCCCCTAAGTATTTATCGGGTCTGATTTAGAATAAAAAGAAAGGTATTATAGAATTCTATTTGCATTTCCCCCCCAAAACCATTCACAATTGCTGACTCTTTGGTTTCAGGGTGGAAGTGAGAGCTGGTTTACAGACAGCAACAATGCCATTGCTTCCTTGGCTTTCCATCCAACGGCCCAACTCCTACTAATTGCAACAGCAAATGAAATCCACTTTTGGGACTGGAGCCGCAGGGAGCCTTTTGCAGTTGTGAAAACAGCCAGTGAAATGGAGCGGGTCCGGTGAGTTATCCTGTGTATCTGGATCTAGTCAGACAACAAGGTGTAAGAGAACAGTTTTTAGACAAAAATTTTAGGATACGGTAATTGTGTTAATAATAGTAATCTTAGAACAGCAAAGCTGGAAGGGACCCTACGGTTCATCAAGTCTAGCCCATGTTTCGGAGGCACAGTGTGGAATTGAACTCCTGACCTCTTCCTCCATAGCCAGATAGCTAAACCACTGAGCTATCCAGCAGTTCATTCTTCTACAACTTGGTAAGACTGCATCACTTATGAACTACTGACATTTGAGGTGCTGTTACAAGCATGGAGCAAAATTAAACAGCTGCTTATGAATAGCATCAAGAAATTTGTTCGCAAAAGAGCACAGACCTTGTCATATTGAGAAATCAGCCTCAAGAATGGTCTTGAATTAGGCATGACACATTCCAATTTTTTTTAATTAGAGCTCCCAAAATTTACCAAGACGTTCTCCAGCCAGAATTCTCATAGCTGTAGCCAAAAGATCTTAGTCCATAGAGGGGTTTAGTGCACAAACTTGTGCCTTGGCAAATCTCTCTCTGCAGCAATGGCCATTAGGCTGAAGAAGCAGGAAATGGGCGGGATTAAAATGTATTCAAAGCACCAAGAATTTGATAAATATAAAATACTGCATTCAGAAATACAGAGTATAAAGTCATGTTGCACTGAATTACTATGCTTACAATTTGAAATAATTAAATAATTTAGCTAAAACATCATGAAGCAAAAATTGTATGTTACAAAGTAAACGACAGTCCTGCAATTGTGTAAGTGGTACAAATTTTAGAGGGCTTTGTTCTGGTTAGAAAAAAGAAGTATAAGCTTAACTGAACTTTCAGCGACAGCAAGTCTGTATGCACAGGCTTGCTCTCTGGAACTGGAATTCATGGTGCAGAATCCACTACTGTCTGTTATACAAGGATACTTCAGTCTTTCCCCTGCAGTCCTGTGTACCACCACTCTAATCGGCTCTGGAGGGTACCTCAGCTTACCAGAATAAATGCATATGGGGAGACTGGAAGGAAGGTGAATTTTTTCTCCTTCTTGGGCCAGCAGTGAATCATCTGCTTAGAGGGGTTGGTTATACTTAAAAAGTGAACAAGCTGCTGTGCAAAATTTGCTGTTTGGACACTTAACCTCCTGCTTTCTCTACCACATATGGTGATCTAAATCTTTTCCAAAAACATTGAGTTCTGGGAATCTGAAAATACCACCGTATTCTGTAATAGAATGTTCGCATGCTGCTGTGGTTGTGCATAATTCTGAATATACTACATGTGGTCTGTCTCTATCATAGCTTTTTTCTGGTTAAATATATATACTTTTTTGCTGAGTTGTGTAGATGCATAATTCAGATGTATGGTACAGTGGGGTCTTGACTTAAGAACAACTCGAGTTAAGAACATTTTGACTTAAGAACCGCTCTCATAGGAAAATATTGACTTGACTTACATACTTAGATTTGAGTTAAGAACTGAAAAAAAACCACGTGGGAGGCAGGGAAAGTGCAAAATTTGAACTTTCAGTTAACTGTTGGCCAGTGAAAAGGGTGCCTGTCTGCTTCCTCACTCCTCCCAGCGTTTAGAGAGTGGATTGGGAGACAGTCTTCAGACTGCCCGGTACTGTACTGCCTGGACTGTATTTTCCCTGCCTTCCCTGAACCTTTCTTGACCTAAGAAAAAGAGAAACAAAATATCCCCCTCTAGTGGTCGAAGGCGGAATAGCAGCTTCCCATTAGTTTCTATGGACGGAAAAGAGCATATACAGATCAAATGGTTTTCAATGCATTCCTATGGGAAATGCAGATTTGACCTGAGAACTTTTTGACTTGAGAACCGCCTTCCAATATGGATTAAGATCTCAAGTCAAGACCCCACTGTAGTGTTTTGGGGAGTTAGTGAGTTTCAGGAGAAGATATATTTCCTTCCTTCTATATTTATACATTTTAATAAAGTTATGGTTGTTGTAGGTTTCTCGGGTTGTTTGGCCGTGTTCTGGGGTTTTCTCTTCCTAACGTTTCGCCAGTCTCTATGGCAGGCATATTCAGAGGACAGGAGTTTGTGTTCTAGTGTAGTGTGTGGGATAGTTGATCCTGACCGTGAAAGCCTTTGAGAATGCATAATAAAGTTATGTTTCTTTACACTTTAGGATGGAACAGAAATGCCAGAGATTCACCTTAATGGGACTCCAAAGTACTGCTAACTGGAATAGGTTGTTCTGTTGGTAATGCATGTTTCTCTTCATTCTAGGCTAGTACGATTTGATCCTCTTGGGCATTATTTACTCACCGCGATTGTTAACCCTTCCAACCAACAGGTAATGATTGCCCTTTTGCTCATTTATAAGGTCAGTAACTCTCTTTCCTATAGCCTGGGCTTTTGCAAAAACTGAGGATGTTTCTTTATGTAGAGTCCTGTATGCTGTTAAATAAACTGTAGATGTTTGACATTTTTAAAATTGAGCATGTTGGTCTGAATTATACATGAAAATTGTTAAAGCTAAATAGACCTAAATAGTATCCAAGGGAGATCACTGGAAAAGATATGCAAAAGAAACTATACAGTGGTGCCTCGCTTAGCAATCGCTCCGTTGAGTGATGAAATCGTTTTGCAATGGACTTTTGGCCATCGCTGGAGCAATCGCTTAGCGATGTCCTTTATGGCTAAAATTCGCTTTGCGATGATCGCGGGGAAGTGATCATGGCAAAGCGAACTTTTTTAAACAGCTGATCGGCGGTTCCAAAATGGCGGCCACAAAAAAATGGCCGCTGCTCTTTTGCCTCGCTGTAGAGGCACCCAAAATGGCCGCCACTATGGAGGAATTTCGCTTTAAGGTAAGTTTTTAGCCCATAGGAACATATTAAACACATTTTTATACGTTCCTATGGGCTTTTTAAAATCGCTTAGCGATGAAATCACTTAGCGATGTTTTTTCCGGAACGGATTAACATTGCTAAGTGAGGCACCACTGTATATGTTCACACCCGTTGTATGGATGATTACAAGAATATTTGAACTTGAGCTGATGATTGCTTTGTCACTGCAGTCATTCACACTGGTATTCCCAAAGTATCTTTCTTGTAGATCATAGCATTTTACTGAGCATGTATTCCTGTAGTCTGCTTGTGGCAGAACTCTCCTATTGTTGGAGGGTACTATAGCACTATAAAGTAGTTGTTTTTGGGGAAAAATAAAGAAAGATTCTCAGTAACACTGTCCAATCTAAGGATAGGGTCTTTGCTTTCCTTCTTGCAATATTTATCATGTTGTTGTCTTGAATTTTCTTACTTTGAAAGGAGAGGATTGATCGCTTGCCCTTTTTCTCTGCAGAATGATGAAGAGGTGGAAATACCTGTGGATAGTACTGAAATGCCACATTATCGGCAACGTTCCATCCTTCAGTCTCAGCCTGTGAGACGCACACCGCTCCTTCATAATTTCCTGCATATGCTGTCCTCCCGCTCTTCCGGTATCCAGGTGGGAGAGCAAAATGC